GTGGTATGGTAGGTATGGTATGGTATGGAATGGTAGACATGGTATGATATGGGAGGCTGGAATGGTAGGCATGGTACTGATATGGCAGGCGGAAGGCGGGAGGGAGAAGGGGAGGATGTTCTGGGAAAACAAGAACCCCACTCAGGATGTGGGAACATAAAAAAAAACGATTCGGAATACTGAGCATGTTATGTGTTAAACACATTGTGTTTAGCCGTGTTCTACATCACATGCGTTAGAGCTCATGGTTGTCCCCTTCTGGTGATGCAGAACGTCCTGGATAAAAAATGGGGGGGGCTAAGGGGAAGGAAGAGAGTAGCAGTAGTAGTAGTAGTAGTAGTAGTAGCAGCAGCAGCAGCAGCAGCAGCAGCAGCAGCAGTAGTAGTAGTAGCAGTAGTAGTAGTAGTAGTAGCCGTAGTAGTAGTAGTAATAGTAGTCGTAGTCGTAGTTGTAGTAGTAGTCGTATTATTAGTAGTAGTGGTGGTAGTAGTAGTAGTACTACTACTACTACTAGTAGTAGTAGTAATGATAGTAGTAGTAGTAGTAGTAGCAGTAGTCGTAGTAGTAGTAATAACAGTAGTGGTAGTAATAGTAGTAGTAGTAGTAGTAGTAGTAGTGGAAGTAGTAGTAGTAGTAGTAGTAGTGGAAGTAGTAGTAGCACTAGTTGTAGTCGTACTAGAAGTACGTGCTGTTGTAGCAGTAGTACTAGTAGTACTCGAACTAGTACTGGTACGAGTACTAGTAGTACTAGTAGATACTAGTAGTACTAGTAGTACTAGTAGTAATAGTAGTACTAGTAGTACTAGTAGTACTAGTAGTACTAGTAGTACTAGTAGTACTAGTAGTACTAGTAGTACTAGTAGTACTAGTAGTCCTAGGAGTACTAGTAGTACTAGTTGTAGTAGTAGTAGTAGTAGTAGTAGTAGTAGTAGCAGTCGTAGTAGTAGTAGGCGTCGTAGTAGTATTAGTAGGAGTAGCAGTATTAGGGGTAGAAGTCGTAGTAGTTGTTGTTGTAGTAGTAGTAGTAGTAGGAGTAGTAGCCGTAGTAGTAGTAGTAGTAGTAGTAGTAGTAGTAGTAGAAGTACCAATACTAGCAGTAGTAGTAGTAGTAGTAGTAGTCGTAGTAGTTGTAGTAATAATAATAGCCGATGTAATACTAGTAGTAATCGTCGTCGTCGTCGTAGTCGTAGTCGTACTTGTAGTAGTAGTGGTGGTAGTAGAAAGGGTAGTAGTAATAATACAAGCAGTAGGTAGTGTAGCAGCAGTAGTAGCAGTACTAGTACTAGTACTAGCAGTAGTAGTAGTAGTAGTTGTAGTAGTAGTAGTAGTTGTAGTAGTAGCCATATTGATAGAAGTAGTAGTAGTAGTAGTAGTAATAATAGTAGTAGTAGTAGTAGTGGTAGTAGTAAAAGTAGCAGTAGTAGTAGTCGTAGTAGTAATAATCGTGGTGGTAGTGGTAGTGGTAGTGGTAGTGCTAGTGGTAGTAGTAGTAGTAGTAGTAGTAGTAGTAGTAGTAGTAGTAGTAGTAGTAGTAGTAATAGTACTGGTACTAGTACTAGTGGCAATCGTAGTGGTAGTCGAAGTAGTGGTAGTAGTAATGATATTAATAATTGTAGTAGCAGTCGCCGTCGTACGATGTAACACGATGTAACACGATGTAACAATACAACGTTGATGACGATACGGTTCATAATGATACCCCCCTGATACCAAGATACCAGCTACAATTGGTACTTGGCCCGGCGATAATCCAGTTCGGCCTCGCCGCCCCCGCCCGAACACTAAGAAAGAGTTGCCCAGGGATCATCATGATACAAGGGAAGGTATCCTGTATAATCAGGGGGATGCGGTTAACGCCACCTCCGAGACGACACCAGCAGGAAAACAGCGAGACACAAAGCGCGTGACTAGACAATTGGCATGTCAGGCCGCTCTGACCACCCACTTTCTCATCGTTGGCGATGACGAGGACGATGACGATGATGACGACGATGACGATGGGCTGGAGGGGCCTCACCCTAATTACGCACAGCGTCGAGGCTTCCAGTCCACGACCCCTGCCGCTCGGAGGGGCCTCCTCCGCCGCCCACCGCGCGGCCCTCCTTGCACGAAGGCACCGAAGACGCCGCGAGGCCCCCCGGGCAGGGCCAGGCTGGGCCTGCAGGGCGGGCGGCGGCCGCGGGGGAGGCCTCGCACCCTGCGCCTGCGGCAGGGCGGGCTCCTCCCGAGCCCCCGCGGGCGCCCGCCGCCCGGCGGCGCCGATGCCCCCCCGACGCGACCGGGCCCGCGCGCCGAGACGCGGGCAGGTCACGGGACACGGCTCACCCAGCGGCGGCGTGAGAGGCACTACCGTCGGCTCGTATCATAAGGGCGATAAGGATGCAAGGGCCTCGGACGCCCATTTGGGAAGCTTTTCGAGCGGGGCGCGGCCAGCGAGAGAGGCCAAGGATGGACCGAGGAGGCAAGGATGCAAGGGTACTCTGGGTTTCTGAATAAGCGTGGGGGGTACCCCCGACGGGGGCCAAGCTTGCCTCGTCGTCGCGCCGCGATGGGGGTCGGAGAGCCCTCGGCGCGCGGTGGCTGCCCCGCGACGGGGGTCGATGTGGGGCTGTCGGCGGGGGTGGCGCCCCCCCGACGCTTAGTAAGAACGCAGAACGCAGAACGCAGCTGTCAACGCCCCCGAGGGTGGCCCGACAATAGGCGACAGGCATGACTAGCACGCTGGCCCTTTGCGAAGGACTGGTGAAACTGCTGTGAAGAATTACATGCAAGAAGCAGAGAAGCAGCCAAACGCTGCAGCGAGATGCAGCCAAACGCTGCTGCGAAGAAGCAAAACGCCTCACCGTCAGAGACGGTTACTAAGAAACTCGGAGTACCATGGGGAAGGTTGGACGGTTTCCCTTGGGGCCGTAGGCGACCCGAGGAGGGAAGGGCGAGGAGGGGGAGGAGGGGGGGGAGGAGGAGGAGGAGGAGGAGGAGGAGGAGGAGGAGGCGGAGAGGAGGAGGAGGAGGAGGAGGAGGAGGAGGAGGAGGAGGAGGAGGAGGAGGAGGAGGAGGAGGGAGGAGGAGGGAGGAGGAGGAGGAGGAGGAGGAGGAGGAGGAGGAGGAGGAGGAGGAGGAGGAGGAGGAGGAGGAGGAGGAGGAGGAGGAGGGGAAGGAGGAGGAGGAGGGAGGAGGAGGAGGAGGAGGAGGAGAGGAAGAGGAGATGGAGATGGAGGAGGAGGGGGAGGAGGAGGAGGAGGAGAAGGAGGGGGAGGAGGGAGGAGGAGGAGGAGGAGGAGGAGGAGGAGGAGGAGGAGTGAGGAGGAGGAGGAGGAGGAGGAGGAGGAGGAGGAGGAGGAGGAGGAGGAGGAGGAGGAGGAGGAGGAGGAGGAGGAGGAGGAGGAGGAGGAGGAGGAGGAGGAGGAGGAGGAGGAGGAGGAGGAGGAGGAGGAGGAGGAGGAGGAGGAGGAGGAGGAGGAGGAGGAGGAGGAGGAGGAGAGAGGACGGGTCGCCTAAGCCCTTGGGAGACACCCTCCAGGGAAGGTCGCCTCTCCTTGCTGCGCGGGTGGACCGCAGCCCCTACCACTCTCGCCGCCCGCTGGGCGGGTGGCGCCTGGAGTCACCAGTGGCGGCCGAACTCCGCGCGGCGGGGGGCCGGGAGCGCGAGGGCGAGCGGGGGCGGCGGTGTGCAGACGAGCGCGCTCCGCTGCTCGCCAAGCACGGCAGGCTGGCGTCGTGTCGACCCCGGCGTTGGATCCTGACACCGCGGGGGTCGTTCGAGCTCGAACGATCGGCCGTTCCGTGAACGCCGGCTCGTTCCACGACGGGCCGATTCTGGGCCACGGGCGGCGTTCAAGCTTACACGCCCCCGGCGGGGTCGCCGCCGGTCGACACCACGCGAGCCTACCGTAACCACTCGCAGATGGCCTGGAGCCGCCGCGGGGGATCTGCGATCCATGACATCGGGGCAGACACGTTTTTGTTTCGGACGCTTGCGAGTATCGACTACACGCAACAGTGACCCTGGGCAAGAGTGACCTTTGGTGCGCGGCTTTCTGGAGGCAGCGGGGGGGCCAAGCACAAGCGCGCTGGACGATGCTGCTGCATGGCGCTCGGCGATCGGGGGACCCCAGCGGGCCCGCACCGAAGACCACTCCTGCGAAGGGTCACTCTTACGTGCAGTCGAGAGTAGGCACTTTTTACGAGCAGCGGAACGCGCTCGGTGACAGTGTGCGCCGGCGTGGGGCGCGGAGCGGCTGCCAGGCGCTCTACGCGCGGCTGGCGGCTAAACGGCGCGCGAGCAAGCGGTCCCCTGGGGCCGCCGCGGCAGCCTGCAGCGGGGCACGGCTTCTCTTCGGTCGGGCATGTCCCCCCACAGGCGGATTTTTGGCCGCAGCACAAAAAATAGGCAAAAACAGAGTCAAAGTATATCCAAAAACAGTCGCGAGATCGTCCATGGACTACTTTTGGACTATGTTTGAAGATTCCTCCTGCAGAGGGACGTGCCCGACCTCAGGCTTCTCCTCCTCGAGGCACGCGACCCCTCTCGCCGAGGGTGCCGCTATCGCAGGCAGGAGGCCCCCGGCGCCGGGGCCGCCCTCCGCCCGCTCCGCGGCCGTCGAGGGGCGAGCTGCGGGGCGAGCTGCGGCGCCTCGGGCGCACCCGGGGCAGAGCGGGCCGTTGAAGTCGATGGCGCCGGACGTCTGGGCACGTGGCGCGCAGGCCGGGGGCAGGATGCACGGGCTGCAGCGATGCGAGGGTCGCCCGCGCCCCAGCGGTGCGAGGGGATCGCCCGCGCCCCATCCCCGGGTGGGCGGCGATGAGCCGCCGGGAGGAGGGCAAGAGGTCGATGGCAACTCGGGGCAGCCTCCCATGTCATCTTGCTGCCTCTTGCGAATCGACGCTGACAGGCGCTGATCGACGCTGATAGACGCTCAATCGCCGCTCTGTGGAGGAGTTTCGAGGACACGCGAGGCTCCCACGAGTTGCTATCGAACACAAGGTGCCCGAGAGGCCGGTCAGCCAGCCCAGTCCTCCTCCTCCAGGTCCGCGTCGGAGTCCGAGTACAGGGTCGAGTGCGAGGCCGACCGGGTGAGGGTGAGGGTCTTGGCCTCGTCCGACTGCAGCCAGAGCCACCTGCCGAACGAGCCGAGGGCCACCACGCCGGCGGCCTTGGCGAGGAAAATCAGCGCGAGAGTGCACGCGGCCCACCTCGTGGCAAAGCCAATCTGCGACATCTCCAGCAGATAGCGGGCGCCGAAGAGCGCGAGCCCCGCACAGGAGTGGCCCACGCACGCCAACTGCCAGGTGGCAACGCTGTCCAGCTCCTCCGAGCGCACGGACGGGCCGTCGGCCGCGCCCCTGACGCAGCGCGCGAGGAGCCACACCAGGACGGCGTCGAAGCAGAAGCAGCCCACCTCGGCGGCTTAAAGGTGGGGCCGCGAGAGACGGTGCTCCGAGGACGAGGGTCGGCGACTCCGAAGGGTGTGGTTTGCACAAGGTGTGGTTTGCAACTGGCGCCCTGGGGGCACCCTGGGGTGCGGGCGAGAACCTCGGCAGAGCTTTCTGCTGCCCCGAGGAGGCCCGACGAGGACAGCACCATGCTCCCCAGGCCCCGACGCTGCCGATCGCAAACCACACCCCGGCGTAACCATACCGTTTGTAGTCGCCGAGAGGGGCCCCAGCCAGGACAAGCTCAACCCAGGAACCCTGCCTGTCCGTGAGGGCCCCCTTCCCTGGAAGAGCAGGGAAGCGGCACGAGCACACACAAGTTTTCGGAGGCCCGCGCGGGCTTCCGAGAGGTTCTGAGCTTGCGCTGTTGAATTCGCATGACTAGAGCACTGTCCAGAAACAAATAAGTTGAATCCCCCCCTCCGGAAGCCACTTATTTGCATTTGCCCATCGAGAACCTTGTCCGGGGGCTCGCGCCCTGTGTTTGTTTTCCAGGGGACATGAAGGGTCACCAAACTGCGCCCCAGGCCCCCGAGTTACAGCAACAACGGCTCATGTTTCATATTTCATCACACTATATTGGCCAAATCGCGTTCTTGCGCGGGACATCCTCGCAAGGTATACAAGAGTTGCGCTCTCGCGTGGGACCGCATCGCAATTGATTCAGACGCCGCGCCCTCGACACTCAGGAATCACGTTCACGCTGTGGATTTCCTCACGATGTACTTGGGAATCGCGCTATCGCTCGAGACGTCCTCGCGATTCATGCAGGGCGCACGCTTCAGCAACCCGCCTGCTCGACCTGGCCGCCTGGGCCTGCCTTCACGAACCGCCCGATCTGTCCGCATGGTTCTGCTATATGTTTTCTGCTCACAGCCCCCCTCCTGAAACTCACTTTCGTGTTCCATCCTCTCACCTCCCCATTGCCCCTTCCTTCCATGCATCCTCTCTTCCCCTGCCCAAGGGCTGCACGAAATAACCGCTGCAGGTAAGAAAGACACATGTACCTTAAAGTGGGCACGATCGAAACGATGAGAATGGGCACCGAAGATTCGGGATATACGTGTTGAGTGGCGGGCGAGCAGATGAGAGCGATCAGTGTTAAAATGAGCGTTGTGTATATTATTCTTCTTCCTCTTCGAATCCCTTAGGGCCCCACCTTTGAATCACCGACCACCGCCTCAAACCTTTCCCCAGGGCTGTCGCTTCAATCCCGGCCTGCTCTCGACGGCCCCGCGGCCCGGCGAGGGCCCCGGGACGAAAACGGTTACAAAGCCTCCCGCCAGGACTTGCTGTTCGACGCGAGCATGTTCTCGAGCGCGAAAAAAATACGAAGGATTGCAAAAAAAAAAAAAAAAAAAAAAAAAAAAAAAAAAAAAAAACCTGGGCTGCAAAAAAACCCAAGGTTTTTTTGCAATCCCAGGGTTTTTTTGCAATCCAAGGTTTTTTGCAATCCTTGGGTTTTTGTTGCAATCCTTGGGTTTTTTTTGCAATCCTTCGGTTGTTTTGCAATCCTTCGTTTTTTGCAATCCTTCGTACCCTTTTATCCAGGCGGGGTGGCAAGGGGCGGGGGGAGCGATGCGCCACAGCCGACGGCGGCTGCACAAGTGCAGCTGCGACGGCCCATGGGACACTACAGGACACTGGCTTCTCCGGGCATCCGCTGGCACCGAAGGCGCGCGCGCTCCAATCGGCAGAGTGGCCGACAACGCAGTGGTCGCTCTCGGGCTAGAGTAGCTCGTTCGGAGGTGGGCCCACGAACGCACAATCGAGCGTTTGGGGCTCAACGCGCAAAATGCGTCCTGGGCGGACGCCGCTGCAATCCCGCGCTCGCCCCAAACGCCTGGGGTTCCGAACGCCAGGCGCGGTCGCCAGGGGATGCTCCCCGGAAAACCCGCCTGGCGTCACCCCAGCTAGGTCCGGGCACGTGTCGGGGGGCACAGAAGCCGACGCGCGTTGATGGTGCCCCCGGACACGTACCCGTACCTAGTCGAAGTGGCGTTTGGTCGAAATCGCTCTCGGGCGCACGCGCGGCCCCCGAGAGCGCTCTCGAATGCGGCCGCAGCGGCCCCCGGGGGAGCGCGAGATTGCAACGATGCTCCTGCGGGCAGGCCCAAACGCAACGGAGTTGCGGCTCCTGTCCCCACATGGGACAAGCACCACCACCCCAATGTTGTTCTCAACCCCGCGGACACCCCCGATGCCCACAGACGTCCCTGACGCGAACCAGGGCATGTCGCTGCAATCCAACAACCAGCCGTTCAGCGCGTCGTTGCGTCCTGACGCGCGGATGCTGAACCAGCGCGCACGCGGTAGGCCGATCGGGCGCAGTGGCGAGCGCCCAATCCAGCGGAAGGCCCTTTTCACCCAGGCCGACCCCAGGCAAGGGTATGTTTAAGACATGTCTGGGCCGGGGCCTCATCTTTGAGCTGCCGCCCACCGTCCAGACCCCCAGCACCGTCATGGCCGTGCCCGCCGCACCCTCGGCCGCCCCTCTGCGCCTCGTCACCCAGTCCGACACGTGCACCGCGTAGAGCAGCGCGAGGACGAGGTCGGCGGCCATGGTCCTGCGGAAGAGCTTGAGGTAGTCGTCCAGGGTCCTCTGAGCTGGGGCGCAAAAGGACGTACAGCAGGGGCTCGACCACAAGAGTCCTCCCACAGGAAACCCAACCCTGAGACCCCCAGACGACCCTTGCTTTTTGGTGTGGGAACGTCACGCTCTGCACCGCAGAACCATCGAAACCAAAGAAACCCGGGGCACCCTGGAGGCAAGCAGGGCGTCTCAGGGCATGGGACTCCACCGTACACAGCGCCTTCGGAGCGTCCTTCGGGAAAACCGAATCGACCTGGCGGCATTCCAGTGGCCCGCCGGCGCAGAGGAACTTTAGAGGCGCGTCCCGCCGATCGCTCATGCGGTGCGACAGCAGCGGTTTGCGCGGCTGAGTTGGGCTGGGCTGGGTTCGGGCATGTCCTCCTACAGGGAAAGATGGTCGAAAAATCGTCCCCATACTATTTTTTGAAATTTTTTAAACATTCACCCTGTGGAGGGACAGGCCCGACTTAAGGCTAGGCGGGCGAGAAGCAGGAACAAGAAAGACAGAACCACAGCCGCTGGGCTGAGGAAACCGCACATGCCGCCCTCCCTGGGACGACCCCGACAAACGGTGATGCCCTGCGCGCGGTGCCCGTTTTCGAATGCCCCGCGAAGGTGATCACTGCCAGCGGGCCGGGAACGGCCTTGGGAAGTCATTAGGGTAGTCGTCCAGGGTTCGGCCCCTCCGTGCCAAGATGCACGACAGCGCCGTGGAAGCATAGGGCCGCATCGAATCGCCATAATATCGGAATCGAATCGGATCGAGCCAGCCAAAACCGATATAGAATCGGATCGATCGGATCGATCGGAACGAAGCGGATCCAGAAGGGGGAGGGGAGCGTGTAGCGAATCAGCTGCACGCAGCTCGCTTTGCAGCGCCTCCTGGCGACAAAGGCAGCAACTAGTCGAGGAAAATGCATGGCGTCGGGGCCGAAACCAGCTGCACGCAGCAGTTTCCGTACCCCCACCCCACAACTTCCCACCCACTTACCCACCCACCCACCCACCCACCCTCTTCGACCAAAACCATCAACCCTCTGACCACTCCCAGGGGTCCACCCTGGCCAGTTTTCCGAGCTGCGCCGAGCCGTGGCGACGAAAACCTCCAGAAACTCCCCCCTAGACAGGCGAAACGACAACGCCCGACCCGACCCGACGTTCATCCCGCCCCCGAGTCCTCTCGCTGGTCCTCACGACGAAACCCCAGTGACACCTTGGAGGCCGCCGAAATGGGACCAGAGCAAATGGGTAGGCAGCATCGCCGATGCATCGGCGATGCATCGGCCCGCGATGCCTGGGATGCGGATATATATATATATATATATATATATATATATATATATGCTGCCCACAATGGACACCAGATAAGCAATGAACGTACGCCTGATCCTTTGGGAGAGGACCTAAAGTAGGAGGATCGAAAGCATCAGCGATAAGGGGGCCTGTTTTGCAGATGTGTCACACGACACCACCCCTGAGCTTAGGGATACCCCTAAAAACCGTGGACCTAAGAGAGGCCCTAAACCCATTGTGCCACTGGGCTTCGGGATTGTACTACGCTTATAAATAGAAGGAGGAAAACGCCATAAACATAATTGTTTGGCGCTCCGCGCGGATTTCTTGGATCAGCGCTGGACCCCCCCTCCCTGGCGCGCGGAGCGCGCCAGGGGCGTCGCCGGAGGCGCCGCCGGGGGAGGGGCCCAGCGCAGTTCCAAGAAATCCGCGCGGAGCGCAAAAAGTTTATGTTTATAGCGTTTTTTCTTCTTCGAGCTTAGTGAACGGCGACGTCGGCGGTGCATCGGCGACGCCAGCGTGAAGCACATCGGGCTCCGCAGCGAGCCGCATTGGCGATGCATCGGCGCTGCGGTGCGATCTTCCGACCCCATCTACTCGGACCCCATCGCGGGTGTTGCTGGAAGTGCCCCTGGCCCGAGGTGCCCCCAGCTTGTCGTTCCATTTTCGAGCCCCGGAAGCCCTCTGGGCCTCGCGAGGGGTGCCCCAGAGGCCGTTTGGGCCACCCCGAGAATCCCGGGGCACCTTGGGCCAGGGGCACTTCTAGAAACACCCGACCATCTGGGAGGCTTGGAACCATGTTTAGCGAACACCTGCAGCAGTAGCACCAGCTCTCAAGCAGCCGCCACATCGGCGCCGCAGGGGGGCCCCCGCCCAGGCGGGGCCCGGCCTGGGCCGCAAGCCTCTCACTGCTCCGCCGGCCCGGGCCGCCCTCCTGGCGGCACGGCGCGCCGGCCGCGCACGCCCGCGCGGGCCCGGGGCCGGCCCCCATGCCGGGCCCAGGATCGGCGCAGACGCCCTCCCAGCGGAGGGGGGAAAAGGAGGACGGAAAAGGAGGTAGCGGAAGGAGGAGGAAGGAAGGGAGGAGGCAGGAGCGGAGGCAGGGAGGAGTGGGGACGGAGGAGCGGGGCGGGAGGAGGAGGAGGAGGAGGAGGAGGAGGAGGAGGAGAAGAAGAAGAAGAAGAAGAAGAAGAAGAAGAAGAAGAAGAAGAAGAAGAAGAAGAAGAAGAAGAAGAAGAAGAAGAAGAAGAAGAAGAAGAAGAAGAAGAAGAAGAAGAAGAACAAGAAGAAGAAGAAGAAGAAGAAGAAGAAGAAGAAGAAGAAGAAGAAGAAGAAGAAGAAGAAGAAGAAGAAAGAAGAAGAAGAAGAAGAAGAAGAAGAAGAAGAAGAAGAAGAAGAGAAGAAGAAGAAGAAGAAGAAGAAAAAGAAGAAGCAGAAGCAGAAGCAAGAAGAAGAAGAAGAAGAAGCAGAGAAGAAGAAGAAGAAGAAGAAGAAGAAGAAGAAGAAGAAGAAGAAGCAGAAGAAGAAGAAGAAGAAGAAGCAGAAGCAGAAGCAGAAGCAGAAGAAGAAGAAGAGAAGCAGAAGCAGAAGCAGAAGCAGAAGCAGAAGAAGAAGCAGAAGCAGAAGCAGAAGAAGAAGCAGAAGAAGAAGAAGAAGAAGAAGAAGAAGAAGAAGAAGAAGAAGAAGAAGAAGAAGAAGAAGAAGAAGAAGAAGAAGAAGAAGAAGAAGAAGAAGAAGAATGAAGAAGAAGAAGAAGAAGAAGAAGAAGAAGAAGAAGAAGAAGAAGAAGAAGAAGAAGAAGAAGAAGAAGAAGAAGAAGAAGAAGAAGAAGAAGAAGAAGAAGAAGAAGAAGAAGAAGAAGAAGAAGCAGAAGAAGAAGAAGAAGAAGAAGAAGAAGAAGAAGAAGAAGCAGAAGAAGAAGAAGAAGAAGAAGAAAAAGCAGAAGAAGCAGAAGAAGAAGAAGAAGCAGAAGAAGCAGAAGAAGAAGAAGAAGAAGCAGAAGCAGAAGAAGAAGAAGCAGAAGAAGAAGAAGAAGAAGAAGCAGAAGAAGAGAGAAGAAGAAGAAGAAGCACAGAAGAAGAAGAAGAAGAAGAAGAAGAAGAAGAAGAAGAAGAAGAAGAAGAAGAAGAAGAAGAAGAAGAAGAAGAAGAAGAATAAGAAGAAGAAGAATAAGAGAAGAAGGAAGAAGCAGAAGAAGCTGAAGAAGAAGAAGAAGAAGAGAAGAAGAAGACGAAGACGAAGAAGAAGAAGAATAGCAGAAGGAAGAAGAGAAGAAGGAAGGAGAAGAGGAGAAGGAGGAGGAGGAGGAGAAGAAGAAGAAGAAGAAGAAGAAGAAGAAGAAGAAGAAGGAGGAGGAGGAGGAGGAGGGAGGAGGAGGCAGGAGGAGGAGGAGGAGGAGGAGGAGGAGGAGGAGGAGGAGGAGGAGGAGGAGGAGGAGGAGGAGGAGGAGGAGGAGGAGGAGGAGGAGAGGAGGAGGAGGAGGAGGAGGAGGAGGAGGAGGAGGAGGAGGAGGAGGAGGAGGAGGAGGAGAAGAAGAAGAAGAAGAAGAAGAAGAAGAAGAAGAAGAAGAAGAAGAAGAATTCGCGGGCCCAACGGGCCAGAGGCGTGCTAAGATCTCCAGTAACTGGTAAATAGTATTTCTAGTTCGCGCGCGCGGGGCGGCCCCTGGGGGTCCCTGGATCAAAAGTACCCCGGGCGGAGCCCGGGCGGAGCCCGGGACACTCCCCCAGATCCTCCAGGATCGCCCCAAGAGGGCCCCAAGAGGCCCCCAACACAATCCAAGAGAGGTCTGAGACGCCCGAAGGTCGCTCCACGGCGCCCAAGATGGCCTCCAGACGGCCCAAGACGTCTCCAAAATGACCCAACAAACCTCCAAGATGCCCCAAGAGACCTCCAGGAGCACTCCCAAGAGGGCCCCAAAAGGCAAAAAAACATGTTTTTTCTTAGGTTTTGGACAGATTTGGGCGTTTCAACCTTTTCGGTTCCCCGACGCCCCTAAACGGCTCAAGAGGCCTCCAAGATCGCCCCAAGAGGGCCCAAGAGGCCCTCAAAAGGGCCCCAAGACGGCCCAAGACGGCTCCAAGACGGCCCCAGAGGCCTCCAAGACGGCCCAAGAGGGCCCCAAGAACGCCCCCAACACGGTCCAAGAGAGGTCTGAGACGCCCGAAGATCGCTCCACGACGCCCAAAATGGCCTCCGGACGGCCCAAGACGTCTCCAAGATGGCCCAAGAAGCCTCCAAGATGCCCCAAGAGGCCTCCAAGAGAACTCCCAGAAGGGCCCCAGGAGGCAAAAACCTATGCTTTTCCTCTGGTGTTGGACAGATTTGGGCGTGTTAACCTTTTCGGTTCCCCGACGCCCCTAAACGGCTCAAAAGGCCTCCAAGATCGCCCCAAGAGGGCCCAAGAGGCCCCCAAGAGGGCCCCAAGACGGCCCAAGACGGCTCCAAGACGGCCCCAGAGGCCTCCAGGACGGCCCAAGAGGGCCCCAAGAACGCCCCCAACACTACACAGCTCCCGACGCCGCAGCTCCACACTGCAAACGACCACTCGGACAGGCGACCACGGTGCGACATTATGGGCCGGCGGAATGAGCGAAGCGATTAAATAAGAAGAAGAAGAAGAAGAAGAAGAAGAAGAAGAAGAAAATTAGCCTGGCGAAGGACCCAACCATACGCAGTTGTGAATACAGCAATTGTGAATATATTATTCGGTGGCGCTCCCTATGGGGTCACGAACCGTATGAGGGGTGTGCCGAATTGTGCGACGGGGTACACAACACGAACGAAAACGATTGGTCTGAGTATGAAAGCTTGAGCGCGGGCGAATCTAAGCGCGAGTGGGTCTGATTTTGAGTGAATATGCGTACGATTGATTCTATGCGCATGACTGCGAGCATGGAGTCGCCGAGTGTAAATGCATACGACTGTGAATGGTTTGGGTCCGCCTGACTCTGAGAACTCGTGACACTGAGCGTAGCCTCCGCAAGGAGTTTTCCTGAGAACCCCGACGGCAGCGCCCGCGCGCCGCGACGCCCATGTCGGCACGCCCCACACGAGGATCGCGACCGTTTCCTCCCCTTCTTTTCCTTCCTCTTTGCCCGCGCACTCCAAAAATCAAGGCTGCGGGCGCCGCGCTACGTGGAGCCCCCGCGACGCGCGCAGTTCGCCACGAAAGGGTCGCAATGACGCGCGCAGCTCGTCCGCTGTCGATGACGACGACGACGACGTCGACGACGACGAAGGCGACGGCGACGACGGCGACGACGGACGACGACGGACGACGACGACGGACGACAACGACGAAGAAATCGGCCCTACGGAAGCTGTCGGGACCACCAGCTCCCTATGGGGCCACGAAACGTGTGAGGGGTGTGCCGAATTGGGTGTGCGGGACGCATGCGGCCAGCGGCACTGGGGCCTTCGGTGCAGCTCCGTATGGGGCCACGAAACGTGTGAGGGATGTGCCGAATTGGGCGTGCGGGACGCATGCGGGCGGCGGCACTGGGGCCTTCGGTGGCCGAATTGGGCGTGCGGGGCGCATGCGGGCGGCGGCACTGGGGCCTTCGGTGGAGATCCCTGTGGGGCCGCGAAACGTGTGAGAGGTGTGCCGAATTGGGTGTGCGGGACGCATGCGGGCGGCGGCACTGGGGCCTACGGTGGAACTCCCTACGGGGCCATGAAACGTGTGAGGGGTGTGCCGAGGTGGGTGTGCGGGACGCATGCGGCCGGCGGCGCTGGGGCCTTCGGTGGAGTTCCCTATGGGGCCGCGAATCGTGTGAGGGGTGTGCCGAATTGAGTGTGCGGGACGCATGCGGCCGGGGGCACTGGGGCCTTCGGTAGAGCTCCCTGTGGGGCCACGAAACGTGTGAGGGGTGTGCCGAAGCTGATGACGATGTTGGTTTCGATGATGGCGATGATGATGGTGATGAGGATGATAGTGCCGATGATGATGGTGATGAAGATGATGAGGACGATGACGATCACGATGATGATGATGATGATGATGATGACGATGATGATGATGATGATGATGATGATGATGATGATGATGATCATGATGATGATGATCATGATGATGATGATCATGATGATGATGATGACGATGATGATGGCGGGAGGGAGGAGGGGGAGGAGAGGAGGAGGAGTGAGGACGCGGGGCGCTGTCTCTTCAAAACGAGGACCCAACACCACAGGATGGTTGGGAAAAAGAAGAAGAAAAATTCGCCGGCCCAACGGGCCAAAGGCGTGCTAAGATCTCCGGTAACTACTTAACAATAATTCTAGTTCGCGCGCGCGGGGCGGCCCCTGGGGGGCCCCGGACGAAAGTACCCTGGCCGATCCCCGGCTGGGTCCCGGGCGATCCCCCCCCAGGGGGGAGGCTATTTTTCCGCCACCCCTCACGAGGATCGTGGCCTCCGAGGGGGGGGCTGCAATCGACTAGCCGCCCTCCCGCCCAAAGTGGCCCCCCTGAGCCCCCCAAGAGGCCCCAGGGGAGCCCAAGACGCCGCCAAGGAGCCCCAAGACGCTCCCAAGAAGCCCCCCCTTCCCGCCCCAAGGGGCCCCCCAGAGCCCCCCAAGAGGCCCCAAATAGCGCTCCAGGGCCGACGGAATGAGCGAAGCGATTAGATTCGCCGGCCCAACGGGCCAGAGGCGTGCTAAGATCTCCGGTAACTGCTAAATAATACTTCTACTTCGCGCGCGCGGGGCGGCCCCTGGGGGTCCCCGGACGAAAAGTACCCCGGGCGATCCCCGGCAGAGTCGGGTCAGAGACGGTTTTCCTCCTGGGCGCCGCCCCCGTGGCCCCCTAGAGAGCCCCAAGAAGGGCCACGAGGCCGCCAAGAGCCCTCCAAGATGGTTCAAGAGTGCTCCGAGATGCCACACGATCGTTCCAAGACGCCCAAGATGACCCCCAGACGCCCCAAGAGGCCTCCAAGAGCACTCCCCAGAGGGCCCCAAGAGGCAAAATTCATTACTTTTCCTTAGGTTTTGGGCAGATTTTGGAGTGTCCATCTTTGCGGCTTCCCGACGCCTCAAGACGGCCCAAGAGGCCCCCAAGATCGCCCCAAGAGGGCCCAAGAAGCTCCCAAGGAGGCCCCAAGATGGCCCAAGAGGGCTCCAAGACGGCCCCAGAGGCATCCAAGACGGCCCAAGAGGGGCCCAAGAGGGCCCCAAGCGATACCCCAAAGGGGGAACACAAAACAAAACTTCGAGCCCTCGGCCTTAAGAAGCCCCCAGGAGGCCTCAAGAGGCCTCTGAGAGGCCCCAAAAGCCCCCAAGAGGCCCTCAGGAGGCCCCCAAGCGACGCTGAAGAGGCCCCCCAGCGGCCCCAAGAGGCTCAGTCATGCGAAATGAGCCGGCGGAATGAGCGAAGCGATTGAATAATAGTAACAGTAACAATACGATTAATCATAATAGCAATAACAATATAATTATAATAAGAATAGTAGTAATACTAATAGTAATAATAATACTAATAAAATAATAGTCGTAATCATAATCATAATCATAATCATACTCATACTCATAATCATAATCATAATCATAATCATACCCCATAATAATACTAAGAATACATAAATAAATAAATACATAAATCAGTAAATAAATAAATAAATACATAAATAGATACATAAATAACAATAACAATAACACTAATAATAATAACAACAAGAAGAAAAAGAAAAAGAAGAGGAAGAAGAAGAAGAAGAAGAAGCGGCACCAGGGACGACGTCCGCAGCGGAAGGGCACGGCCCGCGAGCTCGCGAGCTCAGAACAACTCGAGAAAGGACTTATCGATGCCGACCTCGATCGCGAAGCGCATCCGCACCGACAGCTGCCGCCCCAGCGCCTCGCCGCAGCGCCGCCGAGACGGCCGTCACGGACGCTCCGAAGAGCCCCACGGCGCTCCCCGCCTCGCCGCCGAGCGAGGCTCCAGGAAGCGCCGGGCAGCCCATGGCGGCGCGGGGGCGGCCGCACAGGCAGACCATCCGCCCAAACGTCGCTCATGACGGCGACCTTGCCCGTGCCTTTGTCCTTGTCCGTGCCCGAAGCTGCGCTGGAAGGCGGGCCGCCGTCCCGCCGCACCAGCCGCAGCTCGTCGGCCAAGGCGTCGTCCTCCAGTCGCGGCGCAGGCGGTGCAGCGGCCCCCGCATCCGCATCCCCAGCCGCCGCAGTCTCCAAGTCCATGTCTCAAACGGCGTCGCCATGTTTGTCATCCGCTGCCTCGCCCGTCTTGCCGCCGCGGCCACGGGGCCGCCGCCGCCGCCGAGGAGCAGCAGCGGGCCTCGCCGGGGCGCCACGGCAGGCGCCGAGGAGGAGGGTCTGGTCAGCATGTCCACCGCCGCCCGCAGCATGCCCTCGGCCGCCCTGAATATGCGGAGGGACTCGCGCAACTCAGGGCGGCCCGTTGTGAGCCCAGTCGCCGAATGCGCCGCGAGGAGGGCGCCACGCGCCACCTCGAGCGCCGCGCGGTGCAGGCTCCCATCGCCGCCGACGTCGGACACGCTGCGGCGGAACCCAGGGGGCGCCTGCGAAGCGAGCTTGAGCCAGATGGCTGGAGGAGGAAGAGGAGGAGGAGGAGGAGGAGGAGGAGGAGGAGGAGGAGGATGGAGGAGTGGGGAGGATGGGGGAGGAAGAAGAAAAAGGAACAAAAACGAATGATAATAATAAACAAAAAGAGAAGAAGGAGAAGGATAATGGAAAGGTGGGCGACGGGGAAGGAGGAGGAGGCGGTGAGGGAGGAGGAAGTGATGTAGGGGGGGAGGAACACAATAAACCAAGGATGCTTCAACGAGGCTGCAATGAACCCCACCGTCCGAATCTCATCATAATGACCGTGCTATCTTTCCCAGGTAACGGTCGTTACCCGGGGGGGGCGTTCTGGCGGGAGGGTCACGGTAACGGCGGCCGCGGCGGGCACACGCCATGGTGCATCCGCGCCACCGGCGTATCAATCGCCTGTGTGCACCACAGCATGTAGGGGGTGGGGTTTAGGCCAACCCTCCCCCTAGTACGATTGTTAGCGATACCCGGGGGGATGCCGGGGTAACGAACGTTACCCTGGGGAGGGACATTTTCCTGGCGAAAGACCCAACCATATGCAGCTATGAGTAACGCAACTGTTGGTATCGTCCTTGGGGAGCTCCTTATGGGGCCACGAAACGTGTGAGGTGTGCACCGACATGGGTGCGGTGGTGCCATGCGATCGCAGCCACTGGGGCCTTCGGTGGAGCTCCCTATGAGGCCACAAATCGTGTGAGGGGCGTGCCGACATGGGTGCGGTGGCGTCATGCGACCGCAGCCACTGGGGCCTTCGGTGGAGCTCCCTGTGGGACCACGAAGCGTCTGAGGGGCGTGCCGACATGGGTGCGGTGGTGTCATGCGACCGCAGCCACTGGGGCCTTCGGTGGAGCTCCCGATGGGGCCACGAAACGCGTGAGGGGTATGCCGCATTGGGCGCGGTGGTCATGCAACCGCAGCCACTGGGGCCTTCGGTGGAGCTCTCTATGGGGCCACGAAACGTGTGAGGGGTGCACTGACATGGGTGCGGTGGTGTCTTGCGAGCGCAGCCACTGGAGCCCTCGGTGGAGCTCCCTATGGGGCCATGAAACGCTGTACTGGGTGGGGAAAACGCAGGGCGGAGGGAGGAGGGGGAGGAGGACGGGGAGGAGGGAGGAGGAGAGGAGGAACGCGGAGACCGTCTCTTCAAAACGAGGACCCAACACCACAGGATGGCTGGGAAAAAAGAAAACACTCAAATACCCTACTACTAGAGGTACCTATCCTGTATCATAAAGTCTACGAACGGTCCAGTCCGAGCCCCGTGCTCCAAAAAACGCGTCCTCCATCAATGTGGCTGTCACACGCTTGAACACATCTGACCGTCAAGGGGGACAAGCCTCACGGGAGAAACCCATGTTGAACAGATCTGAGTGAATAACTGTGGCGCAACTCATCCGCCATCGCGATTGCATCGGTTGGTGTGTATGTGCGTCGGGTGGTTGCTGTGCTGTTCATCTTGATGCTTGCGAAGCAATGGAGATGGCTTCCTGCGCATCGAGTCGAACGCGGGCTCATTTGTGCCAGGCCCCTGCGCTTCTTCCTGAGACCGATGCCGAAATCGAGGGGCAGGATCTTCTGTTGGACATAATCCCTCGGCGACCACCACCTCTCACACTCACCCCCGCAGCAGCAGATGGGGCGGTCCCAGTAGATGCGAGCCCACTGCATCGCAGGTTCATAGCAGCAGCATATGCGAGCCCACTGCGGCAGCGTAGCATGACGGGGAAGACTACGCAGTGATAATGGCATGTGAATGTGTGTGTTCGGTGAGTTTTGTCTGCATATAGATTGCGCGGGCGTGATAGGGTGCATTCGTGATCGTGCACGGTCTGTAAGTAGTACGAATAAACCAGGCGCCTAGGCAATTCAAAAGCATGATTGATTTTCCGATCGGGGGTAAATCGGCCAAGATGAGGAGAAGATGCGGGCCTCGGGACCCTTCGCGGGTTGCGTGACTGGATCCCGCTCGATGTTTCCCGTCTGCGACGTTCGTGCCGATACCGATCCCGAATTAGAGTTAATAATCCAGTTTCAGGGGCGCCAGGTTAGAGTTGCTGATGTGTTCCATGGAGAAGGCTCGTTGGTGCTCGCACGCAGTAAGGTCGCCATGCGCACGAAGTGTGGCGACTACGCCTGGGCTGGAATTCGGAGTCTCAGTAAGCCTTGCCTGCCACCCTCATACGCATTGAAACAACAGAGGGGGAGGATGGGGAGAGGGGTTTTCCCTTGTTGGTCTGCGCAGTGCAGTATAGAGGATGGGTGATTGGACCTATGCGCAAGCCAACCAGACCCGAGCTGTTCCACCTCGCGAAGCGCGGCGTGAGGAACCCTGTTGCCAGTGCTGATGAGTTGCGTTCTTCTCGTAAGTTGGTGCAGGGAACCTGGGGAGACCGATGGAGCGATCAGGAGCTCCTAGCAAGGTTTGGTCTCATGCAGAACATGCTTGGGACGCTCGTGGGCCAGCTCAAGGCCAAGTCGAGCGGCAGCGACAGTGATGGTGATGACATTTAATTGCGCTCTTGGTGCTGCCCCAGTAACAAATGGAACAGAACAGAACATAATGACGAGGGAGGAGGGAAGGAAGGAGGGAGGAGCAAGGGAAGAAAGATTTAGAAACCCAACTCAGCGTGCACCGCAAAATGGTCTATTGAATCGGCCCGCTTGGTTTTCGGACGGCCAATTAAGCTGGAGCCCCTTGGACGCAGATGGGAAGAGTTACGGTGACGCGGGCGAACTCGGAAGGACTCGTAGATTCCCCTGGCGCTCCCTTGTCCATGAGGATTATTTTCTGGTGTTTCCAATGGAACCCACAAACGCTCCATTTTGTCATGACGGTTCCTTTTCAACATTCTACATACAACAGTGGTGCTGTGTTGCACGCGGTTGCTGTGGTGCACACAAGCGCCGTGGCGTACACAGGCACTGCAATGCACGCAGGCATTGTGGTGCACACTGCTGTGTTGCACACGGCTGATGTGGTGTACGCAGGCGCTGTGGTGTACACAAGAGCTGCTGTGTCCGCGCGCGCGGTGGCACAAACTGACGCTGCGTTGCACGCGGCTGCTGTGGTGTACGTAGGCGGCGTGGTGTACACAGGCGCTGGTGTGCACGCGGGCACTGACTTGTACACAAGCGTTGTGGTGCACATCGCCATCTACATGCTGGTGCCATCCGTCCTCCGTCATTCCTAGGCATTCCCAGGCGCCGCCGGGGCGAAGCGTGACGTCATCGACCCCCTCCACCCCCCCAACTGATTGCCGCCATCGGCCTGGAATAAAAAAACAAGCTCCAGCCGCGTCCGCGCGCACGACGACGATGAGCGACGAGCGACGAACCACGAGCCACGAGCCACGAGCGACGACGACGACGACAACGACGACGACGTCGACGACGACGACTGCGGACCAGACTCCTATGCGGATTCCTACGCGGACACCTACGCGGATCCCAACGCGCACGGCGGCAGTGCCCGGAGCGTACTGGGGGGGCGAGCGTTACGTCATGGGGGGGGGCGGGGGCCATGACGCCCGTCATGCCACAAGCAATAAAGAAATGGTCTCTAGGGGGAAGGGACGGAGGGAGGAAGGAGGAACGGAAGAGGCGGATGGAAGAGGAGGATGGAAAAGGGAGAAAGAAGAGGGAGGAGGGAGGAGGAGGAAGGGAGCAGGGAGGAGGAGACAGGAGGGGAAGGAGAGAAGAAGGGAGGGAGGAGGGAGGGAGGGAGCATGAGGATCAGAGAGGCGCGCCGACCCCTGGCCCGGCATCGGCCTGGCCGGGAACGGCGCCCGTGCACGGCTGGCGCCCCTCGGACCTGAGCCGCCCGCGCGCAATCCTCGGGCCGCCCACAGCCGCGGCGTCGCGGCCGCGCGGCCGCGCCAGGCCGCGGGCGCGAGAAGCTGCGCAGACGTACGGCACCTGCCCCCCCCTCCTCCTCCTCCTCCTCCTCCTCCTCCTCCTCCTCCTCCTCCTCCTCCTCCTCCTCCTCCTCCTCCTCTTCCTCCTCCTTTTCCTCATCGTTGTCATTTCCCTTTTTCTTGTCCTTCTCTCTCTCCACCTATACTTTTCAAGATCGTCGCCGCAGGCCCCGCCGCCGTCACTCCGATGCCAAGTACGCTGGGCGCCCCCCGTAAGCGCGTGTCGCAGGACGCCCTCCGAGGCGCGCCCCTCGAGACGCACGCCGCAACAGGGCTCACGGGCGAACGCCGCGAGGCCTGCTGTCTGGCCGATCTCGCAGAGTGACCACATCTCGCATACACACCTGACATAAACCCCCCCACTGCGAACTCGTAAGGGGTGAGACCAGGCCTGTGCTTTTTTCGACCGGTGAATTCTCATCAGCCTCGTAGAACGAACGAAATCCTACGAGAGGTGGCGCACTGGGGGAAGGGGCCAAGGGGGGGGGTCGCGCACGTAAGGCGTCCCTCGAAGAGAAGCAGGCCGTGCCGGGTCCTGGCGGCCCACTCAACTCTGTCCAAGACCCGCTATCAAGGCGCCATCCCCGCCCGGGGGAACTTCGCTGGGAAGCACCAGGCGGCTGGCCCATCGGAAATTCCTCCTCCTCATCATCATCATCAGCATCATCATCAGCAGCAGCATTCCCGACAGCGTCAACATCACCATCCGCATCAGCTTCATGACCATCATCATCACAAGCATCGTCATCATCACCATCACCATTAGCAGCATCATCCCCATCACCATCATGATCGGACCTGTCATCATTGCCAGCATCATGCACATCATTATCCTCAACCTAATCTGCATCCCCGTCTCAATCGTCTCAATCGTCATCCTCATCAACAGCATCATCATCAACAGCATCACCATCATCATCCGCATCCTCATGTTCACCCTCATCCTCGTCCAATGCTCTCCTCTCACTCTTTCTTCTCCTACTGCCCTGTCCTCCTGCTGCGACCCCACTGGAATCACGCACTCTGGAAAATATTGTAAGTACCACACGCTGGAGACCCGTCCATCCTGTTCTTGCGTCGCCTCCTCCTGCTCCTCTGGCGTCTGGGGAGGTACCGCTGAAGCAGTCGGCCCCGTCCGCGGGCGCCCGCGCAGCGGCGGGAAAGACTGCCTGCGGCGTCCCGGCGCTCTGCGACGGGCCAGCAGCGCGCATCAGTGCACCTCCAGAACCGGGAAGTTCGGCGGCGCTGGCAGCCCAGGGGCCGAGGCCATGAGTGTGCCACGGGCCCGTTGCATGTGAATCGTCGCCGTTGTCATTGGTCGTGTCCACGAAGCCTCCGAAAGATGGCGGCGCGCGAAAAGCGCTGGCGATGTTGATTGGTGCATGTTCGTCAAACTTTTCAACTCGGCCTCCGACGCTGGACATCGGTAGCCGCAGGGCTGGAGCAGCGTCATGCGTTGGCCAGCTGCGACGCCGACCACTCGGAGAAGTAGCCAGCTGTAGCCACTCCCAGTCATCGCAGCCCCACCGTTGTGCGCAGCTCGAAATCGCAGCGTGGGGGACCACGAGAGCAGCGCGTCGGTGGTTTCGTTGCGGCGCCTCGAGAAGTCGAAGAATTCGCAGGTGGCCTGGAGGCGCGACTTGGGCCGAATTGTTTGGCGAGGTTCGCGATGAAAAAAGTCACGGCGTCCTCTGGTTGGCCGTTGACCGCGCCTCCCTCCGTAATATCCGTGAAACCCATTGAACGCGTTGGCTCGCGAGCGGCCCCAGTGAGGTTCAAGATGAAGGCAGGGCGTTGTTGGGCGCTGCCCGTGCCGGTGGCTAGCACGTTCCACGCGAGCAAATGCTGTACCCAGAGGTGGAAAAGGATACACGGACTCGCGCTCGGGAAACCTTGCGAGCGGTTGGCGGGAAGTGATCGCAGCTTGGCCGCCGCCGCCGCCCTCTGGGCCGGCTCCACCAGGCATCGCGCCCGTGAACCAGAACAGGACGGCCACGAAGAACATGAAGATGCTGCCACTGAACATCAAGATGGAGGTTCTCCTCTGAAAGACCTCACCACGATGATGGCTGCGAAGGCGCCTTGGGAGTCGGGCCTGCGCAGCGCGGGGCAACCACGATGACGGCGTCAACCTTGGTCGAAGCCGAGGCTGGATAAACTGGCACGTTAGCCTCCACCGTTCCACCAGGGTGGTGAGATGTGCTCACGAAGACAACCAGCACTGCCGCACACGCACCGGGGCGCGGCGCTAGCCCAGGGAGGAGCCCCGCAGTCGCGTCCAACGCGAAACTGCGGCCAACGCCTGCGGGGCCGCGACGGGCCCGGGAACGTCGCGTCGCTCCTGCGGGCGAAACGCCCCTCGTCGCACCTTCGGCCGAAGCCCTCGCAGCCGGGCCAGACGTCCAGGGCGAATTGCCAGTTGGCTTGCAGAACAGCAATAAGCACGAGCCGCTCAAAGAAAGTTGGGCGGCAGTGATGCGGAGGTGCAGGTAAACGCGAAGGCGCGCCCGCTCCGCACGACGCGCCCATTCCGTGGACCGCGAGACGGGATCGCCCCCAGCTCCGCCACCAACTAGAATTGCGGGGGTTGGACGCCGCGCGAGAGAAAGAACGGCGGCAACACGACGATGATTGCCGTTTGAGCTTCTCCGCACGCCACACAGACACGAGCCAATGCTGAAGCCTTACGGCGGCAGAGTATCCTAGTTGAGTGAGGAGGAGGAGGTGGAGGAGGAGGCAGAGAAGAGAATAGAAGGAGAAAGAGGAGGAGGAGCACAATGACCCAGAAGAGACGAACGGCGGCCAAGAGCACGAGCCGGAAAGAAAAAGACGTCCGTCAATCGTCCCGCGGAAAAGGCGGCGAGCGCTGGCCTGCGTCGGATAAGCTGGGTGAGCCGCGCTTGGGCGGCTGCAACGATCTACCCTCCTTGCAAACCTCCCTGGTGGCGGTAGGAGTGGTGGATACGACACATAATGTCATGAAAAATCGCAACAGGCACAAGCTGGAACCTTCAAGGAGGGAGCAAGGGGACGAAGGCAGCACGAGCAGCACCAGAGGCAGCGAAGAAGGAAGGGGGAAAACAGGGAAGCGAGGAATACACCGGCTCAGAGGCAGGACATGTCATGTAATGTATAATATGATATCCACCCATGGCTATCTCACAGAACACTAATTTCATACGGGCTTGGGAATACCTGGCACAGGTACACCGTGCATTACACAAGGATCGGAACAAACTGGCGACAGCACACGGGGGGATCAATGCCTGCAGTCGGGGAAGAGTGAACATTAGATACGTTCAACCGTCGGGGCTCAGGTCTGGATTAAAATGTCAAACACGAGCTACAAATACCTTAGCAGCTGACACGTGTCGAATCCCACGAAGAAGGCCCCCGGTCTTCCCTTGTAGCCTGGGCACCTCGAAGGATGAACATTCGGGATCTGCTGGAGCCTCTGGACGTTCTCCCTCATATGGTAAAACGTAGCACGGGGATACCAGGGGCTAAATTTCCACAGAATAACACAGTCATCATCGGCGCTAAACTCACCAATCAACTTACACATATCCTGGAAGGCCCTCGACTGGAAGGCTGCCTTATACATGGCAGCACGCGCCATACCAAAAAGATGGCGAGCCTGAACGTCGAGCCCTCCACTCTTCACGCCGTACAACAGTTCACAAGATAAGGAGTTCCTCAGGGCATCCGTGGGGCTCTGCAGGGCACGAGCTTCTTGCTGGAGGGCATACTTGGACGGGCAGAAAAATTGGGCTACATAGCTGAGGCAGGAGAAGGCATAGACACTGTGGCGCAACAGGGTTCTGTATAGCTCCAGCTTCAATGCTTTGCACTCTCGAGCTCGGCGCAGGGTTTTGTTTGCAGGAGCCTCCCAATTCGAGTCACCTGAATCCTCCCCACCCATATTCCAAGATACTTGCCTGCGGTGCCGAGGACCACGCCTGGCAGCTCGATGTCGTGGTCAAGCATCAGGCGGTCGAATTCTATCCGATTGAGCTCGTGAGTTACCACGACAACGCACTTTGGAAGGTTGAGCTTCAAGCCAGCCACTCTCTCGGCCAGCTTAAGCACGGGCATGCAGATCGCCAAGGCCAGGATGACGTCGGCCGTGCCGATACCTAGATCATCTTCAAATGCTGCTGGAATTCCAAGAGACGGCGGTAATCTATTCTCGAGCATTTCCAAGATGGGGTCCACGGTGAGGGCATACAAAGTTCCAAATAGAAGGCACCCCTGCCTGATCCCCCATCAGAACCGTGAAGAAACGTCCTCGGACATCTCCAAAGACCACCTGGACTCGAATATCATTATACAACAGCTTGATAGCCTCCAAGTCTCTGGCATCGAGCTTCAAGACTGTCAGCACACAAATAATCATGGGATGCAGCAAGGACGGGAAGACGGCCTAGTCGAACAGCAAAATTCTACCTCTGCGGCAACACTGCTGGGCAACCCAATGAAACACATAGCCTTCAAATTCTCGGTCATCTGGCGCTCTGGGATGAAGCCCCGCTGTATGGGAGCACTACACACCTGGGCGACGTAGGAAATCGGCCTGTTGATCGCGTTAGAGATAAGTTGGTTGCCGTTGTTGGCAAAGGCAATAGGACGGGAACACTCAGGGGCTCTCACAACCTTCTGCGAGTCTGCGAGTCTTCGGGGGCCTCACCCTGAGCCAGAAAGACACCGAGAGCCTAATTCAAGTACGGATCTCCTAGATCACCTCCAAGAAGAGCGAGCTAAGCTTGTACAGAACCCCAACCGCCTCCGAACCAGCTCTGGAGAACGCGCTGTACGGGATCCCGTCAGGCCCAGGACTGGCATCGTGGGTTTGGGCGACCATGTCCTCCAACTCTTCAGGTTCAAGGACCCAATTCACCTCACGTGGAAGCTCAGGCACATCGCATTCGTCGACTCGAAATCCCCTCCCGCCCTATGCACCTGACCCCAGTACTCAGCTACATACTTGCAGGCGTCATCTGGGTCTGAGATCTGGAGCCCCGTAGGGTCGGCGATCGCCGATAGACTGATAACCCTCTGGTTCGCCCCCCAAGCGGCAGCCTACTGCGAAAGGCGGTGCATCTGTGCTTTCTTCTTGCTCTCAGGCACGTTGCTGTCCTCACTTCTTGCGCGCGAGCACGACATGACTGTCTGCTTATATCAGAGAGAGCGTGATCCACCGCCGCCGCTTTACTGTGGAAAATTGCCGCCCTTTTCCTCGGGAACCCGGGAGTCCCCCCCCCCCCTCCGAAAATCCCCCCCCCCCTGCTGGACCCCCCCCCCCCCCCCCCCCCCCCCCCCCCCCTCCCCCAAACCCCCCCCCTAACCCCCCCCCCTCCCCCCGGGGGGGTCACTACCGGTTCGAACCCCTCCCCACCCCCCCTCACCGCCAGCAAACGACTCCCGGTCCCTACCACCGTCCTCACCACATCCCCCACTGTTGTTCCCAGCACCACTGTCCTCACCACCACTGTCCCCACTGGTTCCACCACCGCCCCTACTGTCCCCACCAGTGCCACCACCACTGTCGCACTGTCCCCACTGTCCCCACCACTGTTCCCACCACGGCCACTCTCCCAACTTTCTCCACGACTATCCCCACCCCCCACTGTCCCACTCTCACTGTCCCACCACTGTCCCCACTGTCCACCACCCCTGTACCTGTCCCATTGTCCCACCGCCGTCGTCGCCACCGCCTTCACCACTGTCCCACCACCACTGTACCCTCCACTGTCCTACTGTTTCCACCACATTCCCACTGTCCCCACACCACTGTCCCCACCACCACCGTCCCCACAACTGTCCCACTGTCCCCACTGTTCCCACCATTGTCCTCACCATTGTCCCCACCACTACCGTCCCCACCACTGTCCCACTGTCCCCACGACTGTCCCGCTGTCCCCTCACCACTGTCCCCACCACCACCGTCCCCACCACTGTCCGCACCCCTCTCGGTTTTCGAGGGGGGGGGGCGGTTCGAACCGGTGGTGACCCCCCCTGGTTTTCGAGTTCGAGGTGGCGGGGAGGGGGTTCGAACCGGTAATGACCCCCCCTTTTCATAATGAACTGGGGGGGAGGGGGGGAGGGGTTCGAACCGGTAGTGATCCCCCCCCGGTTTTCCGGAGGGGGGGGTGGGTTCGAACCCGTAGTGACCCCCCGCGGTTTTCCGCCAGCAGCGGTAGAACACGCTCTTTCTTATATCAGCAAGGTGAGCATGAAAGGCATGTACTTTCGTCCACGTACAATTGGTACTACATATGAACTGCTCGCTGGGTTAGGCTGAACATGCTCTCCTGACTGAGCTTGCTCGCCCAGCGGCAAGGGCTCCCATCGCAGACAAGCGACCAGGCAATATACATACTCTGGCAGCGAGGATTTTCCTCGGACCTCCAGTCAAGAATGCAAAGCCTTCGCTGCAGCGTGAATGAGATTCTTGAGCTCCGCAAGGGCCTCCCAGGGGTCGTCGTTGAAGGGGCCATGTTCTTCAAGAAGTCCTCTGAACACCTGTGGGTACTCGGGATGCTTCGAAAGCCAGGAGGGAACTTTGGTAGAACTTGGAGGCCCAGCCGTGCGTAACACAATGCAAACAGGCACGTGGTCCGAGGGGTGCTTCCAGTCGAAGGGGCTACCACAGAGGACACTGTTGGGGGCACAGTCGAGAAGCTTGGCTGAGTACGCGTTCATATAGATCCTATCCAGACGGCCTGCCGAAATGATAGGAGGAAGAGGATGAGGAGGAGGAGGAGGAGGTCGAGAATGAGGAGGAAGAGGAGGAGGTCGAGAATGATGAAGAAAAGGAGGAGGAAGGGGAGGAGGAGGAGGATGTAGCGAGCGGTTTCACTGATCAACTGAGGGTACCAGGGCCAGACTAGGACGGCGCATCCCAAGCCGAGATGCCGCTTGCGCCACCCAGCCATCCCCAAACGCCCCCCCACCCCCGCGATCGCACTGCACTGGAGCCGCCCCCCCCTCAACGTTTTCTTCTCTCGCCCGCGCGCCCCGTGCACAGGGGCCAGGGGTACTTCTCTGGCCGCCGCGGCTGCACGCGCCTGCAGCCGCAGGATGGCCCCCTGCTGCTCCTCTAGCACGGCCTGCCCTCCCACGAAGGCGCGCTGGCACTCCTGGGGTGAGGGCGAACTGGAGGGTGAAACTGACTGGCTCCGGCGGATTGGGGGGGGAGCACATCGCCGGTACATCGGCGATGGGCCCCCGACAGCGACATTGGGGGTCGATGCGTCCCCCCCAGGAGCCCATCCCTCCCTAGCGCTGCCCTGGAGACGTCTCGGGGAGGCGTAAGACTCGAGTTTGGGGGACTCGAGTTGGCCTGACGGGGCCGTCAGAAAAATTGCGGGACCTGGTCTGAAATCCGAGGCGAGCTCCCGCTGCAAACGTCTCACGAGCACGGCACCGCCAGAACTCGCGCTGGGGCCGCTGGGGCCGTCAAGAAGCAGCGGCGGACCCGCGTTCGGGCAAACTCGGGCATCACGTCTCCCCGAATCTCCCACGAGACGATGCTTTCAGCCCCGGCGCTTGTCCCTCGGCTGCACCCTCTGGGGGCTGTCTTCGGGCCCGGGTACCCTCAAAAGCGGATCAGAGATTGCTCCCTGGAAAGGGGGCCACGGATTGAAAAACACAATAGTCGGATGTCTGGATCTGGCCCCCTTTCGAAGGTCCTCCGGAAGTGTGCTGCGCAGCGCCAACGTGTGCGTGTCCACCGAAGCCCTTCGATACCACGCAGACGGTGACGGTGTTAGAAAGGCAGCAAAGGCTGCGTGCTTCTCGGTGGAGCTGAACAGGGTAGACACACTTTCGGCTACAGCACGTCCTCAGAATCGTCGAACAATGAGGTAACCACATACACGGCTCGCACTCCCAGCGCGCGTGAAGGAAGCGGGTCCTTCCACCAGCCCTCTGGGCGTAGGTGGTCTGGGGAGGCTCCTCTTCCAACCCCCTCTTCTTCCCCTCTGGGAAGGGGTTTACCCCTCCCTCTGCCCCCTGGGCCTGGAGGGGGGAGGGTTCACGAGCGGCCAGAGCATCTACGGTGGCCCAAGGCGGCTCCAAGAGTCATTGCACCGACCTTGCAGACGTGCTGCAGCGGATTGTGGCGCGGATTTATGTCTACGCAAAATCCCGAAACGGCGAGGGAAAAACGAAATGAATTTCACGTGAATCTGTTGTACGAAAAAATCCGCACGAACTTCACCTCGAAACCCGAAGCGAAATTCGCCAGGACACTCCGGGCCCATCCTGTCGTTTCCGAACGAGATCCGCTCTGCGATGCTGGCGCCATGACACGGGGGCCCCAGAGGAGCCCAAGATGACTCCCTCGTCCAAACAGGGGGTGCGAAGCCCCTGGGGGACCCCTCCTGGAAAACCCCCTTCCCGAAAACCCCCTCTTGGAACCCTCCGGGAAAGGCGCCCGCCGCCTGCAGGCCCCCCCCCCCGAAGCCCTCCGCGGGCCCCGGGGGGCCGCCGGGGGAGACGGCTCGGGGCGAGGAGCTGGCCACTGGGCCCTGGGGCTGGCCTCAGGTCGGGCGTGTCCCCCAACAGGCGGACTCTGGACAAATATAAAATGGTCAAAGAATTCTCAAAACATGTGCTCTCACATCTATATATATGTATATATGTGTATATACATATATATATATATATACATATATATATTCCTCCTGTGAATGACACGCCCGACTCAACGATAGCCCCGTGGCATGAGGGCCCGTGTCCCTCGGGGCCCCCCGGCCCTTCGCGGCGGCTCCTCCTCCGCGCGAGTGCAGCCCCCTGGGGCCCTCGGTGGAGCGACCTGCGGGGCCACGAGGCGCTGTGCTGGGCGCGCGTCCCGCGTGCGAGTGCAGCGCCCTGGGGCCTTCGGTGGAGTTTCCCAGGGGAGCGGGTGGGGGAGACGCACACTGATGAGGGCAGAAGCAAGGATGGGGGGCAGGGAGGAGGGAGGAGCGCGAGGGGGTGGGAGACGCGGGAGCTGTTTCTTCGAAACGAGGACCCAACGCCACAGGATGGTTGGGAAAAACTGTATGCGCGCACTTATGGTTCTTTTTCGCAGACAAGTTTCTTGTGTTTGT